TGTCAAATATAACTTTAAATGATATTTCGGTTCATAATAAATTTAAATTTAAATAATGATAATGATAATAATATTATAATTGGATTACATCTGTCCAAGACCTAGAGGTTGAAATCAATTTTAAATATTTCTTTTTGTTTTTGAAAATACTATGATTTGAAAAGTACTCTCTCAAATTGACATCATAATAAATATAAATTGAAATAATGATAATAATAATAATTCGTAATTGAATTACATCTATCAAAGGCTTACAAACTGAAAAGTCCAATAAAAATAATTGGACCTCATACCTGAATGCCAAGGCTAGACCAATTTTGGTCATTGTGCAATGCAATCCAATCTATCTACCATTTCCTATGAAAAAAAAAGGAAAGAAAAAAAGCTCAAAAATATACCAAGAGTGCCATGTGTCAGTGAAATAGCAACTTAAAATCTTTGCTTATCTTATAGTACTAGAGGAACTACAGCCTTGGCCCTCCTAAAAATACTGATCATTGGAAAAGCATATATAACAATTCTAGTTGCAAAATAGGTACATAATATCATAATTACCATTCATAGATAGCTATCAATAATTTCAATAGCAGTTACACACCTTCCAGTACAATTAAGTCCCAAGTAGAGATACATAATGCATGCTAATAGTTACATAATATCATATATTAAAATTCATTAACTTCTAGCCACAGCGAAAATGTTAATGGATTCTAATATGATGGCAAAAGATAGCATGCTAAAAGTTCAATAGCATCCATGATGAACAAAAGGATGAACAACAAAAGGATGAACAAAAGAGGACATGAGGCTGCGTGACTGCTTCATTTTGCAGATTCACGTGGCTTCTTGAGAGGGCTCATATGAGCAGATTTTGAAGATGCAGGCTTGTTGTCTTCAGGACCATTTTTCCCAACAATTGAGGGAACAGCTTCAATGGTTGTCTTCTCAGCAGAAGGTACATTAGTTCTGGGAATTGGTGTTTCAAAAGTTAAGCTTCTTTTTGAAGCAATGTTTGAAGAGGCTGGCTAATCTGCACGCCCAATTGAATCTAGGATGATTTTTGTTGTTGGGCTGAAGAATTGCCCTTGAGTGGCAAGTTGGTCAGTGAAAGTGGAGCGAGCAGTTAAGTCAACTTGTTCAATGGTGTTGGTCAGCTTCTCAGTTATGGTTGGAGCAGTTGGAACAGGCTCTTCCACAGGATTAGAGACAACTGTGCGCATGATTGCCGAGTTGATTTCAGCCAATTCTTCAGCAGTGTATATTTTGACAATGCTATACTTATCATCTTTCTGCCTTTGATAATCTGAGTCAAAATGGCGGACAAAGCATAGGACTTCACGGTTATCAATTGCAGATGCAATTTCAGAAAAAACCTCAACACCCTATATTTTGCAAATAAACAAAAAAAAACAAGCTCAATACCCTGTATTTTCAGAAATTTTATAGACTGCCAGAAAATGTAAACATGATGCAATTTCAGAAGAAAGCTTAATAGTAACATAGATTGAAGGCGACATGAGCTGGGAAGTTCCAGCGACTTTCATTTAACATTCCAGCCCAAATTTCCAACTTTTCACAAGTTTTCAGCCAAACATTTTATAACACTTGAGATAAACATATTGGATGCGTTTGCTAACATTATTTTCCAAAGAAACATTGATAACAAGCTGCAACTTCAGTTTTCTCTGTCGGTTCCTGCTATTTTTTTTTTCTTTCCAACAACTAATTAGTTATTAAACAGAATTTTCCTCAACTAAAACTCATTTTTCCTAGCTAAAATTCAACATGCAACTTAAGAATTCAGTTATACCAGATAATTAAAAGATTGTTGCAATCTTAATACTGGCTAAAAGAAACTTTTAGCTAGTTCCAGTTAGGAATTTTGTTTCTTGACTACGATTGAGTGTTGTCCTTGGAAAGAACAGCAAAATAACCAGAGGGACATTACCAGATTTTCAGGCCAATCAATGCAACTATAGACAAAAGAAAATAGAGATATTGCATGCTAATGGTATGAGTTTTTCAGCATCTTACGTGTTCATCAGCTTCACTTACTTGTACTGCTGTGAATGGTATGAGTTTTTCAACATATGGACCAAACACTATTGCATACATTGAACTTGTTCCATCATCAATGATAATTCCAATACAGCATCTAGTATATGATAGCAGTGAATAATGGTTAATCAATGAAATAAAACAGAATTATTGTTAAGAGCACTATTGTAAAATTGCATGCCTTGTTTACCTGGCTTCAACGGCACTTTCTTCTGTGCAAGACGTACATCTGATGATCCATTCCAAATTAGCATCTACAGCCTTTTGACAGTTACTACATGCAGCATACTAGAAAGATCGCTGCTCAGCTGCCAAAGAAGTATTTCCTCGTATCCAAACAGTCTTGACCTATAGTTTATATTGTATTAGATGCAAAGTTAAGTAATTCATTTTTCACTAATGTATAAGGTAAGAAAATAGTATAAGTCAGTTGCTGAAATGACCATATTTACATTTTTCAATATGCTCACAGCATTCTCAACACTAATGATATCATTATTTTTGGGCAGAGGCAGCAATTTGGTTGAGTCTTTGTAACTGGCCTCCTCAATTAGTTGTGCAATTTTCTGCTGATTCTGACCATACCTGTGAACATAAAAATGACATGTTATATTTTCCAGTCTTTATGTATAATTATAAAACATGATATGCTTACCATTACCTTAATACAGTGGCTTGAGGAGTTGGTGGATTCACCAGCAGACAACTTGCAAGCCTTGTTGTTAGATATAGATCTAAGAAAATAGTATATAATTAGCTTATTAAAGTTGAAGTATGGCAAGCAAAGCAGTAATAATTTCTTGAGCAATGGGAGCTATAACTTACAGTTAAAAGTAGTTACTTTGACTCTCATAGCTATGATGATGTTGTTGTTTGCGATAGTGTTTGCCAGTTGTGCTCCTTCACTTGCTTCAAATTCGTTCCACAAAGTAAGGAGCATTGGCCTTTTTCTAAAAAAGCAATAAATATGATAAAAATTAAAGAATATAATAAGTTTATTTAGTAAATTAAAAGTCTATTCTTTTGTTCCAGTTGGCTTACTCTTGATTAATAACAACCAAGTCTCTAGTCGTTGAATCAAGACTCCGTTCCCGTGAAGGAAAAACATGCACGATAATACCCTGGATATCTATTATTCAAAAGAATATTTCAATCTAAGGATAAGCTGAAGATAACATAAGGAATACATTGGGATTATCTATGTTAAAGCATGATCTTACTTTGCAAATTTTCTATGTCAGCAAATCTGAATAAGTTTTCAAATGCTGTGAGCTCAAAGTGACACGGAATAACCGGCGGAACTTGCTCAACATACTCCTCAACCAACGTTATGTTATGGATTACCCAAGAATATAGGTAGTCATTGACGTTATACCTTGGTTCTGCTTTGCGAAGAGCTGCACTAGAGATATAGTATCTCCTGAATGGAATCAACATGCCAGCAAAAAAACGGATATCATTGCCATAAATGACTGCTCAAACCTTTGTTCCCTGTTGCATCATAAAGAAGAAAAGTTGTAAATTTGTAAAATAGTCAAAGATATATGCAAAAATTGAAAGAATATCTTTATTTTTTTGTTACCTCAGAATCTGTAAGAAGGAAGCGGCGGTAGTTCACAGGCCTTGCTCCTTAACTCAACTGAACATGTCCTCTCTCAACAATCTAAGCCAGTACTATCCATCCTTTTACTCTCTCAACGACCTCATTCACTGGAAGGTAGCGTCTTGCCATGCTTATCTATAAATGGTACAAACAAATGAATTTAATTCTAAATATAGACTACAATTATGATAGGATTAATTAAAAATTGAAGAAACATCAGAAGAATGTTCATTTACTTGACAGCTAATTGAGAAGCTTCAAGAACTTCTCTATATACAATATTTTTTGTCTGATTTATTCTAGATTTATCCAAAACATGGAGGCTTAATGAGTAACTTGACTTGTGAAGCTGTTCTTCACATGATAATGCCACAAAAAGCTAGCCATGAGAAAACACAGGTTCTCTTAAATAAATACCTACAAAATCTAATGTTTGTCCTTGAGCTTTGTTAATTGTCATTGCAAAGTACAAACAGATTGGAAACTGAGTTCTCTAATATGGGACAGGGTATTGCTCATCAGTGGGAGGTTCTAATAGAATTCTATGGATGAAAACATCTTTTCCAACAAAATCACCTACAACTATTTGAGCATGAATAACATTTCAGCTCAAATTCCTGCATATTAATCTTGTCCTATTACAAAGGCCTTCAGTGGGATCTAAATTTCTCAGCAAGATTATTGGTGCATTAACCTTCAAGATTAGACTATGTGGTGGAAGTCCACTTGGGGAAAGAGAATTCAAAAAGTCCTCATACTGTCCCTGATGATTTGGATTTAAGGTTTTATCAGAACTAAGATATTCTACTGCTTCACCTGGAAATTTGCTAATGACAATGTCGTACACCTCATCAACAGAATTATTTTTTGTGGACAGAATTACTTGGTTGATTGGAGTGTTAGCATCTGATGATCCAGTCATGGTATTGGGGTACACTAAATTTATCAAATTATCTAGTGCATAATCAGCCTCACTATTTTCAAGCAAAATTGAAGAGGGAATCTTTATGTAGCTATCATCTTGGATTTTTTCAGTTCCATTGCCAACTCTCAATAAATAATCAGTAAATGAGGGGTCTAATCGAGCCCTCATATTCTCTGTTAACTGCACTTTTTCAAGAGAAGGCGATAGAAGAGAATTTATTATGCAAGCATTAATAGTCTCAGATTGATTTCCTCTACGAACAACTGGCAATGTTTGTCTAAAGTCGCCACCAAAGACGACAACGTTTCCACCAAATATTTCTGATGAGTTCATTAGATCTTGCAATAGATCATTTAATGCTTCAATTGCAGATCTTTTTGACATAAGAGCCTCATCCCAGATAGTCAGTTTGGATTATCTAATCATTGCTGCCAAGCTACTTTGTTTGCTAACTCTACATGCTCTGCCTTTTGAAAGATCAATTGGGATTTTAAATCGTGAATGAGCAGTCCTACCTCCTGGTAGTATAGAAGTAGCAATTCCTGAAGTGGCTGTTGCTAGTGCTAAATACCCTTTAGACCTTATATCAGCTAGCAGCGCTCTATAGAGAAATGATTTTCTAGTGCCTTCAGGGCCATCTAAAAAAAAGGTCCCATTTTTGTTCTCATATATGCGGTGAGATATGATCTCAAATGCATGCCTTTGTTTTTCATTAAGCAAAGAAATTGCATTCAAATCTTCTTCACGAATTGTTATGCTTCTTTCAGCTAACAATTCCCTTGTTTGATTCTCAACATCAAAGGATGATAGATCATTCGGAACCAATCCAAATGAAGCTATGCTTTTTCCCATTAATTCAAGAAAACCACTTATTTGTTGCAGTACCTTTTTCCTGACCTTTCTTGGAGTCAAATCTGAACACCTTAGAAAATCCTCTGACATTACAGCCTCAAATTTTAACCATAATTGTCTGGGATTATTAGGACAGGAATATACCAAAAGGGTTGCAAAAAGTCTTCTCAATTCACAAGGCATATGAAAGAGAGAAGCCTCTTCAAGACAATGTTCTTGGTTGTTATCATCTTGAAGCAGCCCTCTTAAAAGTGTTGCTTCACAAAAGGTTCTAACCTGTACACTCTTATAAGTCTTCGAAGGACTTCGGAGCACGGACTTTTGTTAAAAGAAGCTTAAGGTAGTACCTCTCTCCTTCAGTCGGATGGACTGCATTTATTCTTCCTATAGAGTCCCCTCGATCTCTCATTTTCCAACGTTTCTCATTAGGAAGCCAAACAAAATGGTCTAGAAATTCAGAATAGGTACAGTTCAGAGCTGAGCTTCTGAATCTGTTCTATGCATGTAGAAGAATTCAGTGAGCATTGTCTTTTTGTTTCTTGGATTGCTCACAATACTGGTCAAATTCTGATGTTTTTTGAAACTTATAGGCTGATAGTTTTCTAGGTGAAGCTGCAAATGCATTACTGCAGGTTTTATTTCGCCCATAGCAAAACGAAAAAGTCTTCATCCAGCCTCACGTGGTGAGACCCAGCGAGCTGCTTGATATTGCTGGATTTCATCAATATGGCTGTTTGGATTATCGGAATTAACATGAAAACTGATTCTATCATGTCCTTTGCAAATGTATTTATAAATGTACTTAACAGCCTGAATTGTTGAACAAATTCAACATTAATGTGACAATCAAATTTAGCAAGTAAATAGGCATTATATGGAACAACCCATCTATTATCCAAGTAATGCTGTCTAACTTTGACTCTAACACTATTATTACTTCGCCTATATACTGGATAAGAATTAATGGTCTGGATTGTTTCCTGACAAAAATCCTTTGGATAGGGATGCCTACACTTGCCATTCTTTGTCATACACACACTTGATAGATTTAAAACACCGCATGGACCATGCATCATGTGTTTTTTAACCATTCTATATAAGTGTGGGTATTTCACTTTGTCTAGAATCTCGGCATTGACAATCTTATCATACTCTTCAAGTCTGAACATTTTATGTTGAGATTTCAAAATTAAGAGGAAGTGTGCATGTGGCAAGCCTCTTTTTTGAAACTCTATAACATATGTATAGGCTGCCACTTCACCAAAAATATTTTTCTTCAGGATTTCATTTTTTAATTATTCAAGTTTAGCACGAAAGACTCTTACAATCAAATCAGGCCGATTCTGTGCTTCTTCTTTTTCAATTAGGTGTTCTTTTATTTCTGGCCAATTAGGATTGCAAGTCATGGTCAAGAAGATATCTGGTTTGCCAAATTTTTGGACCAAGATCATTGCATCTATATATTTTCTTCTCATATTTCTTGGCCCTCCAATAAAGCTTTCCGGTAAAAAAATTCTCTGACCAATATTTGCTGCCTGTGTTTCACCAGCAGCCACAGAGTCTTGTATTTCTTGCAAAAACTCTCTCCTTATTTCCTCTTGTTGTGATCTATAAAAATGTAGTCTTTAATATTCAAGCTTAACATACATATCCACTATAAATTGCTGAATTAATCTAGCAAAATGAAGCAAAAAAGACTCATCATTATCCCTTATCTAAAACTTATAAGCATAATACTCTCTCACAGAAACAAAATTTGGATCATTATCAATCTTCGCCATTGTTGGTAGACAAATTGCAGAATAATTAGTTAATTTACTATGCTGAACTGAACTACAAATAGATGAATAAGATTGGCTACACCTACCATCTTGTTCCATCTGTAATAGTTCTTTAGCAGTAGCAGCAAGCATTGGGGAAATTGAACTTTCAGAATTCTTATTTCGAGTCTTTTTCTTGTGGATCTTTTTTCCTTTTTTTTTTTGGATTTTCTGATGCCAACCGAGTTCACCAAAAGGAAAAAGAAGAGGGTACTGCAAGGGGTCATAACAGCTAGAGGTGTCAAAATGGGTGACTTGGGCGGGTTTGCGTTGGGTAAAATAGGTAATGGGTATAAGTGAGTCAACCCATTTATACCTATTTAATTAGATGGGTATAAATGGGTAAGTCAAAAAATAAATTGGGTAACCCAATTACCCATTTATAACCCATTTATTTTAAGTTTTTGTAAATTCATTTAAATTCATTTTTGCAAACTAAGTTATCAATTTATACTGCTCTTTGTACCCATTATTAGTTTTAAATATTTACTTATAATGTTCAATAAGCCTAATTACCAAATTTTTTTCATTTATACTCTATTTCACAAAATTACATATTATTTAATAATTGAATAATAAGAATATAAAATTTTGAACTAAGTACTATAAAAGTTAATATAAAAATTTAATCCAAAAATTTTGAACCCCTAACATTTTTTTCATATATAAATTTAAAATTTCATTTTAGAAAGATAAGAAAAGAGGCTCAAATTTATCATAAATTGGTAATGCTGAAAAATGAGTAAGTTAACAAACTAAGAGAAAATAAAATAATAAAATAAAACCAACACATAATAATAATAAGAAACAAAAGTAGTTAACATCATGACAAAATGAAAAATTTGAAAAAAAAATGGGTGGGGAAAAAGAAGAGATTTAGGGGAAGAGAATTCTAAATGGGTTAATTGGGTTTGATGGGTTACTCAATAATACCCATTTATTAAATAGGTATTATTGGGTAACTCATTTATACCCATATATAAAAATTTAAGATACCCATACCCATCTATTCATGGGCGGGTATGGGTAAATTTAATTAAGTGGGTTGATTTGCCACCTTTAATAACAGCCATAGTAATATTCTATACTGTGACCATGACCACCATGAGTATGGACTTGAATATTTCTCCTGCTTGTTTCCCCATTTTCTTCTCCTTCAACCCACAATGCAGCAACTTGGGAGACCGTAGGTTTGTTAAATACCCTTTGGTCTACACTAGGCAGTGTTCTCAAGACAATACGATAAGTATCAAGGTTATGAACTTCTCTTAAACCACGAAAAAATCGAGCATATGGATTGTGTTCAAGGATATTCATAACCTTCTGGATAATACTTTCTGTTAGCCTTGGACATACATTTGAACAATTTGTCAGCTCATTTTCAGTATCATGAAAATACAACTACAAATTTTTTGAGGCCTCTAGTCACTAATGAAGTGATAAACTTGCCCCTGAATCCTAAATGTATAGACACCTTTATTTCTCTTTGCTAGATTCTTGTCGCACTTAACTCCAAAAGAAGTGAAAGCAAAAATGTTTTTAATTGTTCTTATACATATTCTAAATAATTTTGCCTCTTCTGAAAATGAAGTTAATAGCTCTTTTAAAGGAGCTGAAATTGGGTTGCTAGCTAACACTATGTCTCCATTAGAACAGCAAAAGTTGGTTGTTTCATGGGAAATTTTTTTTGCACCACAATGTGGGCAATCTGGTTGTTTTGGAAGAATGCTTGCCGCACCTAGAATGTAATCTAACAGGTCTCACCCTTTTTTTTGAACTCTTCCTATGATCAATAAAAGATCGATTTTAAATGACTTAACTTGTTTAACAAACAATAATAAGATATAAAATACCCAAGTTATTTAACAATGTAAATGTTAAAAGACATGTACGTTTTCTCTTAGTTTTTCCTTGATTTTGTTCAAGTATTCCTATAAAGTACAGTCCAATATCAGTCACTTGAATTAGATAAATTAAATAATTGGAAGAAAATGATTTTCAGTATTCAATTTAAAGCTAAAAATGTTTTGAAGATGCATAAAATCAGCTACTTGATGGGAAGAACTATATTAATAAGCAGTGCTATATTAAGTACCTGAAAACTGGGATGCATTCGATTGTAATTGGTGAACAACTTGATTAGACTAATTTAAAATCTCAACACCCTCAGGATTATGCTGTTCAGTTGTACTTATGACAGGTTGCAAACTCTCAGATCCTATATTCTATGCTTGATCCAGCTGATTTTGCTTAGTTTTTTTCGTCGTCATCTTAAGCACTCTCTGTTTCCATCGATTTCTATAGGTGGAAGATTCAGCTATTGAAAATTTCGACAGGACAGACATACATGATTGCAAACTATTCAAGTTTGCGTTTGGTAGCGAAAATGTGTTAACAAAATCCGATATTAGAGGCTAAACAGATTTAGAGACATTTGGAAAAGAGCATATAATCTGCGATCTCATACATTCTTGTTGACTTGAATGTTTTTTCTGAGATCTCTGAACTTTCAATGCAAGAGCTTTCTCTTTTCTATGATGTCTCAAAGTTACGCCTTGGCTATTTGCAAATTCAAATGATGCATCCATACCAGTTTGCATACTATTTGAATTTATATCGAATAAAGACAACCTGGGAAGAGACTGAACAATAGAAGGCTCAGTCACAATCTTAGCAAGGTCTACAATCTGATTTTCTAAAGAGGCTACCTAAAAAAGTTGGTTTGTTTGAGATGTTTTGGTCTGTGATCTCACACTCATTTGTGTAGGATACTCTATCAGGTTGGAAGTGTGCCTCCCTGTAAACTGGAATAGTGCAGGCGTACACACTTGCATATTACTCAAATTTACAGGTGGCAAGGAAGGCGCAATAGCAGAAGGCAAAATTCCTACACTATGACATTTTACTGCTCTATCTAATCGTTTCTTTTTCCATCTGAGAACTGCATCTTTTCTACAATTTTTTTCCTCATCATTTGACCCACATAAAACTGAGAAATCACAATAGGCACATTATCACAATTTTCTTTGATCACAGAGTCCATGACAAAAAAAGAAGATTACTATCCAAGGCTTTCTATATGGAACAGACATTCATTCTCATCATTTGAAGGCTTTTACTCTCATAGCAGAAAGAAAACCATTAACTACATCATGTATCTCACAATCATGTAAAAATGAAATAGATAACAATTAATATGCCTGAAACTTAAAACTTTTTAACATGAGACACACAACCTGTAATATAATCAACAGCCGATAAAATCCAAAT